TATGAGAATGGGCCAGCGAGTAGTTGGTAGTTGATTCAGGAAGAGCCTAGTTATGGCTAGACAAGGGGATACAGAAAAATCAGCAGATCATGCAAGATAAACATAGTAAAACCCAATATAGTGAATTCAGCCTCGCAGTTATGACAATAATTGAAGATATATTCAGATAGGAGTTGGATAGTTAAAGGTACAATATGAGTATTACGAAAATAAAAGAGAGTCCCACTGGGAAGACAACCAAAACTTCAGCTTCTGAAGTAACCGTACGAGCACATGAGTGTGGAGGTAAGTAACTAAGGATAATCATAGGTGAGTACGAACATCAAAGATTCTATTGGGAATACGATGTAATAAGCTCGCAGCTTTACAAGAGTCAGACGGTCTTCCCTAAATACAACAACAAAAGACTAGCTGAGGAAATAAGGAAAAAGGCTTCAACCTAAACATGATAACTCGAAGGAGAAAAAAGAAATGGTCTTATAACAACAGTCTCACAACAACAATGTATGCACCCCATAAGAAAGTGGCATCTATCGTGGCCAATATGTGTGGGCATTAAGATAAACCAAGTATACATGCAACAAGTGGCAAAACGACCAAGAAAAGCAATTGCTCGCATTTAAAGAAAGTTTAGAGGAATTATTCGATCAATGATCCAGAGATAACTACATTATGAATGCACCTAAGATTTTGGGATATTATGCAGCAGATATGATTGACAATCATACAGCCGTAGAAGACTCTGGTATAAGTTAAAAGAAATAATTGAGTCAAGGTTATAGACAAAGGATTGAATTGTTAGATGATGGTATCATGGATATTCCATAGCTTCCATGAAAGGCTAAAGTAATAACTAATGCCATGAACTGCAGATTAGAAGATAGCTTAAGCCTACATAAAGGTTGATCAGAGGGAAGAGGAAACTAAAGAGTTACACCAACTAAGTAAATCAGGAGTCTGATTATTGGACCCAGAAAATCATAGACTTCATGATTGAGAACATTACAGGATCACTCTTAAATATCAAAGGTACAAGAGAGATAGTACAGTAGCCATATTCTATAAGGGCATCAGAAGTATACCACCCTCATAAGAAGTCAGTATCAAGCTCTCGCCGGATTATGTATACACCAGATGTGCAAGTATGATAATAAGGCATCAAGTTATGGACGCGAATTACACCTAAGTGGAAGGGAGGTCATGAATGAAGTAGAAGATACGATGCGAGATTTTAAGGTAAGTAAGGTAAAGGTGAACAACGTACGAGATACTCAAAGGCAGAAGATCGTGAATAGTCCATACTTCGGGGAAAAAAAGCTAGAAGCGCGGGGATTCAGTATCTAGGAATAAAGCGGCATCGTCAGTAGCATATCTTCCGGCCTATGGTCTAGGTATCGAAAAGCCTGACTAAGACAGTAAATAAGAGTTTGAGATGATGTGATGTCTCGCTTGATATTCCAAAATGACATAAGGAAATCTACGATGCAAGCAAGTTAAAAGGTTGCAAGTAATATAAATAGATATGTGTAGGTCGCAACCTATAGTATAGTAAAGCGGAAAAGCTTTATGACAGGAGTAAGGATGAGAAATGGCGAGTGAGAAGGTAGCAAAAATAGGTAAGCCCTCATGATTAAGCCCATGAAAACAAGAGATCTGATGGTTTCTCTAAGTTGTAGAAAGCCCAGTATAGCCGAATGAACTAAAAGGAGTCTTAGACTAGTAGCATTTAGAAGAGATGGAATGCTACCTTGGTAGTAGAATGAGGGTGTAGTTGTGGTAAATAAAGGATGACGTTTGGGCCTTCGATTGATTAATGGTCTGAGGAAGAAAAGGAAGGGATCTCATGAATTAGACAGGATTAAAATACCCACGTAAGGTGAATCACATTGAGATGCTGTGAGATACGCTTATGAAAGCATGGTACCGCCCCAGGTGGATCAGTCTAATCATTTTAGATGTTCCCAAACGAAATATGGACCCTAGCGGCAGTGTTACATAAAAGGTTAAGTTATCAGAGGTAGATTATAGATCAATATTGAGGTGAATCAGCAATAGATGGATAAAAGTTATAAAATATGAGATGAGATTAGGCCGTCATTCTTAAGATGAATAGTAATGTGGAAGCATTAAAGGAAATAGATTTATACATATTGTATAAGCAATGAGAGAACCTGAAATTTGGTAGCAGACCTCAGTAACGAGAAATCGAGGTAAGAGTTGTGGTATAGTATGACTTACTTAGATGCCGTAAGGTCATACCGATAGATAACCGGGGTCTATGAAATAAGATATAGCAATATTCGTAAGTTTGACAAAATACCGAGCGAAGAACTTCAGTAATAGCTAAAAAAATCGAAGGAAAAAGGAAAGAAGAGATGCATAAGCGCACTTACAAGGTCAAAGTCGTACAGGCTGCATGATAGAAGGTAGCAACAGTTACGAGACTGGAAGGATTCCGACCATAAGTCGTGGTGTGAGAAAGAGGCCTAAAGGGGGGGGGGGGGAATGCCCTGGCCTTTGGATTTATTCACAGAACAGTCGTCTAGATGGCAAGGAGATTAATAAAGTATTCGGAAGACATAGCCTATGAAAATGATAAATGCACCAGTCAACATTCGAGGACGAATGTTCCAAAGGGGGAATGATGTTACACCCCATATTTTCGTACGTGGAAGTACGCCAGAAATAAATTGATGAAAGCTCTGGAATGAGATGTTACATCCCGCATTTTCGGACATTAAAGTTTCGTCATAAGTTTATCGATGCAAGCTCGGGAATGAGATTATTTTGAGATTACAAATATTATGCTATTTCAAACAAGTAATGAGTAAATTTGTGAAGGTGAGAGGGTAATCAAATCGAAGAAATGAATTTCAGTGAAGTTTGTCATTTTGGGATAAAAATACGGTCCGAGCTATAATACCGGTATTTATGGACTAGTGACATGCAAGGTACCACATGACCATGATATTTTAAGTAATTTGAGATAATTCTTAACTATGTGGATAATTGGTTAATTATTGGATAGTGGGAGATATTCAAATTAATCATGAGATTAATGCTTAATTAAAGTTGATTGTGGATAAGTCTTGAACTACAAAACGTGGAAGCCCTTAAATTGATAATAAAAGCCACTATATGACTCATAAAAGAGATGGCAAGGTGTCACCCCATTAGAACATTTAACAAGATTCTTAGCTTAAGCCTTTTGAACATAAATCATGCAAATATAGGCACTTTGGCATTCTTTAAGCCTTCTTCAACGTGATTTTCACAAATAATGTTGTGAAGATACTACATCACATTTCAGAGATATTTCATACGTGATTTTCAATGGTCGGAGATGTAACGTAAAAGTTTGCGATTTTAAGAAAGTACGGTGCAATCTTTCTCAAGAATATCATACAGATTTTTTCCTACTCTAACATTGCAGTCACGTGCTTTGTCGGAATTGACGTATATTAGAGGGATTCTCAAGAGAATTGACTCAGGTATGTTAAGGCTATCCCTTATTTCTTTTGGCATGATCCAAATTATACGGAAGAAACGAGCAAACACACAGTTTTCATAAACGACTCTATTCATAGAAATACTAGGGGTCTCTATGTTCTTGATTCCCCATGTGACATATTATTCTATCATCTGTTCATGGGTCTCAAAAATACATAAGTTGATAAAGTTTATTTCATGATACTAATCAGAGGCATAATGGTCTCATGACGTACCAAGAGATTTTATTAACGTATTTCATATACATTTCATGCATTTATACATGCGCGCGCGCGCGCGCGCGCGCACACACACACACACACA